AACTCCACCACAAAGTCATTATTACGAGTGGGAAACTCGAAATTTTCTTTAACCCCCAAGTTTCCGAGTTGGGGGCGTGTCAATGAGAAACATGGCGGAATCGATGGATGCAACGTCTGTAGTTGACGGTAAATTTTTGTTTAAATTGATAGTTTAGTTGTCCTATACACTTAAATTGGTCATGTTCTTGTTACGCAGCTAGTTAATGAAATCCATAACAAGTTTTTATGCGATACAGATTAAAGTGGCTTCATAAATATTAAAAACGCAAAACACACCTGATGCGAATTCTTTGCTCTTCAAATTAAAGGACGCTACATAGAAAAACATTTTTAAAGATAAATTTGTCTGATTTTTAGAGATGATTTTTTTAATTATTATTTTATATGATATAATTATTATACCCTTAATCCATTACACAAGCTATATTAGTTTAATAGTAATTATTAAGCTTTTATTTTAAATTAATATAAACATATAGATAATATGCAATATAAGTTTTAGACTCAATAGCTTTAAACATGACTACATACAAGCTTAGATTTTAAGGGTTTTTATACCTATAAATATTATCAACTCTATAAACTAACTGTACAACTTTTACTTGCACTTATATGGCAAGATGTTTTCTTTAAGATTTCCTCTTTCATGGATAGATCGTTTCATCTTGTAAATGTGTTTCAATTCTTCATATTGTTCAATCTTTTAATCTTTGGTAGTGAATCGCATTGACTCTCTCACGAGAAGTGAATCACAGTTTCAAGGCATGTGATTGGATGTTCATTTCTGATGTGCACGTGCTCCATTACCTCAGGATCAAAGCCTGAGTTGACAGAGAAAGTTGATGATCAGCTTCATGGTACCAACAAAGCCGGACTGGACTGGTTTGGTTTTGTCAACTCAAAACGAATCCTGTAACCCCGAGTTTGTTCAGCCACCATCATGGTACAGGCCCCAGGTCGACCGTGATTCGAAGATTCGATGCTTCAAGGGAGAGTTGAAACTTTTCGATCGTTAGAAAGCGCCGTGATGCCCACCAATGCTGTCCAGGAAGGCAGCTCACTAGAATTGGAGACGCAGCCCATTTCTCTTCTGGTTTAAGTCTTACTCTCACAGTATCATTGAATAGAAATACAGTTGAATCTGCTCCTTATACATATTCTGTTCATTTGTGAAAACAGAAAGCAATACTAGAGACCCCGGAGGACTCCTGAAATCCGCCATCAACAACCCATTCAACAGCAGCGCAAACAAGCTAGCACTCCCACCTACTTCCACATTCAGATCATCTCAAGTCTCACTGATGGATGTCAGAAATCTTCAAGTCGTGTTTTCTCCCCTGTGGACACAGAAAGAGCAGATGCAGCAGAGTAAATACCTGTCTAGCGCATGTTTTCGGGCTCCGACCGGATAGCAGTTAGCTAGCTGGAGGGCAGTCTGGTCTCCATGACTCGTGTTGCTGTCTGTCTGTCGCTGAGACTGAGAATTAAAGGCGCTCTGGTGATGATCAGATGGATCGAATGCGATCTGCTCTCAATCCAGACGCCTCCTGAGGTGGGGCTGGGCTCAATTCAGTCCGGCTAGCTTGTGTGTGTGCGTGTGTGTCCCTCCTAAAGCATGACAGGTTTGTACCGCTATTGCCTTGCTGCCGCTGAATAGTCGATAGTGTGAATGAATGTTGCCGCAAGGGGGCGCCAGTGCAACGCGATTACTCACGTTGAGAAGTTGGGTTTTGTACAAAACAAGGTAATAAATTCAACCCACTCGTGTAGCGGTTTTTGTTTGAGAATGCGATGGAAAATACTTGTTCAAAGTGTCTTATGTAAAAGTTGACTGTTGTAAATCAGGCTTTGTAAACAACAGTTGTTGTTGTATTTATTTTATATAAAATATTTCTATTTTCTTGGTAATGTTTGATCTTTAGGGTCTAAAACCGATGAAGATCTTATGTTTCCCAGTTTTCTGCAAGGATCATGTGAGACTGGAGTAGTGGCTGCTGATAATTCAGCTTTGCCATCACAGGAATTACATTTTAAAATATATTAAAATAGAAAATAGCTACGTAAATTGCAATAATATTTCACAATATTCCTGTTTTTACTGTATTTTTGATCAAATAAATGCAGCCTTTGAAAAGCACAAGAGAATTAAAAAAAAAAACAGACTCCAAACTTTAAAATGGTATTTAATAATTTAAAAAAAATAAAAGCAAAAAATAAATAAATTCAATACCACAATGTACTACCATGATATAACAAGTGTACATCACAAAATACTTTAAAATGTAAAAAAAAATGTAAAGCCTTTGAAAAGCACAAGAGAATTAAAAAAAAAACAGACTCCAAACTTTAAAATGGTATTTAATAATTTAAAAAAATAAAAGCAAAAAATAAATAAATTCAATACCACAATGTACTACCATGATATAACAAGTGTACATCACAAAATACTTTAAAATGTAAAAAAAAATGTAATACACTGAGCATGAGATTTTTTTTGCATTTCAACAGGAAACTAAAAATAAATCTTCTATTTATTAAAAATATATTTTTATCTCTAGATTTTAGGGGTGATAGACTAAAATATATTGTCAATTTTTTTGTGGGATTCATCCATTTATATTTTAATTTGCAGTTTGTCATTATCAGTAACCAGTTGAACAGTATGATAAATCCTGCCCACATGTGCTTTAAATAAACACAGAAGACACAAAAAAGCAATAATACACCAGGCAGCAGATGTTTAATGCTTGTATGTTTGTACAGCTAACATTTCATTGAAGTGCTTAGCAGAACTGATACACAAAATAAAAGGCACCATGCACAAACTAAATACACAAAACAAAAACAGGAAACCCATTATGTACAACATAAAAAATACATAATTTTCATAATCTTTGGGACTATATGTACAAAGGTTTAAAAATGTATTTACAAACACTCAAAGCACATTCACGAGAATTTGACAAACAAAAAAAAACAAGTGCTTCCGTCAGCGATGCACAGGTTTATTTGTGTGTTTAGTGCCCATCAGCGTCTGACAGCAGGGCTGGCGAGGAGGCCCAGGATGGTGGAGAGACAGTGAAGCTTGTCTTTGACCAGCTCTGGTAACTTCTCATTCTCTTTATATCTGAGAGGAAACAAAAAGCATAAGAATTCAGAACAGTATCTCTGCCAGCATTCATTCTTAAACACAACATAAAATCAAAAATGGGCCTCGATTAGTCTTTATAAATGTCATTGGCCTTGTTTTGCAATTAAAAAAATGTAAATGCACAATTGGATTATGCATTATAGAAGTTACATACATTGCAAATGCAGTGTCATGGTTCTTAAATAATATTTCTTTCTTTATAACAAGTTTTACCTGGTGATGTGTCCATCAGGGGAAGTAAAAATGATGCAAGAGACACCAACTTGGACCATCAGCTGGGATCCATCATTAAACTGAACCCATACCTCACCAGTAGTTAACTAAAAAAGAATTAATTAATAAATAAACACACTTAAATGCTAATACTAATATATATATACATATATGTATATGTACATACATACATACATACATACAGTATATATACATATAGTATCACATATACATATATATACACATACATACATATACGTACATACATATACATATATACATACATATATATATATATACATACATGCATATACATATATATACATACATGCATATACATATATATACATACATGCATATACATATATATACATACATAAATATACATACATATACATATATATACATACATACATATACATATATATATATATATATACATACATACATATACATATGGGTCATTGACGTATAAGGATTTTCGACAGGCCAATTTTAAAATACAAAAAATATCTATTGTAATTGTTCAAACATTAAGAATGTTGTGCACACATAAATTCATATTAAAATTTAAAATGAAGAGATTTTAGTGTTTTTTCATCTAGATAAATTGGCCGTAGCCTTAAAAAATGTCATGTGGTGCGACCATGATTTATATTCAAATTAAATAATTTCCTTATCATGCTTAACATTTTTTTTAAATGTTCTCAGTAATTAAAGTGTTTAGAAACAAAGTATTTGCATTTAATTTGAGTTTTTGTAAATAATGATCTCTTATTTTTGTTCTATAATTTCAGTTGCCTACACATTTATTATTTACACACATTAATTATAATTATTATTATAATAAAAATAATAATTAAAAAAGAAAAAAAAACTATCTAGTCAAACAGTTTACCTGAGAGGCCCAGCCGATGTTAGGCACAAAAATGGACTTGAGCACCTTTCCCGTGTTAATGGTGCGTTCATCTTTGCCTGAGTGGGGTGAGCTGCCTTTAGCCACACTAGCTGTGGTGAAGTCCGATCCCGCATAGGAAATCATCTAGAGGGAAAGGCATAAGTTACTGTTAATGAAACATTTAATTTCAGAGTGGGACACACTCTGAAATACCAAAACTGATGTGCTTTGGGATAATGTGCATGCATGACGTACTGATGGTGTGATGTGGGGTGGCTGGGGCGGACTGAGGCACACCTGAGCCACCTCTGCAGGTGCTGCTGGGCTAGACTCAGACGAACACTGAGGCTGAGAAGCCGAAAAGGCTGGATTGGTGGGTCTCCTGATGGAGCATAAGACGGTGAATGCGAGACAAACTTCATGCATGACTTTTAATCTCAACCAATAGGGTTTGGCTGACAGTTTTATAGCTCTGGTGACAGATTTTAAGCCTCACCTGCCGATAGTGATGGGAAAGAATGGAGTGTTCTTAGCGCTTCGCTGCTCCTCAGCAGTGATGGCCGCTTCCAAAGACAGACACATTCGATGCCCCTAAGAAGAACAACAAAAAACAAGCTTTGAATCTTGGTTAGCATTATAATAGCTGGAAGAACAATGTAGCAAGCAGTACCACCTGACCTTTGAAAGACCTTATATAAACATGCAAGCACTGAATGTGCATCTATCAAAATGCAGAATGTCAATTTTACTCTTAAACATGTCAAGTCATGCTTTCACAAAGTAGAAAACATGATGCAGTAATGCAGTACCTCCTCAGAGAGCTCCATGTAGAGTCTACACTCAGGACTCAGTCCACTCAGCCCAACGTCGCCCTTCACTGTATACGATTTCCCATTCTTCTCCACCACACGCACCTGTGCACTCGTCTTATGGGTTTTTGCACCTAAAGGATGAAAAAAAGGTTCCTTAAGCCTAAATCAGCTACAATCAGCACTACACACAGTTCATTCTGCTGAGATCATCTGTGCCGCTCACCATCATAGAAGCACACCTCCAGGTCTGCATTAGGAGTGTTCTCCATCAGCATGCACTTGGCAAATTTTGTGTATAGTGTGACTTTAGGGGTCTTCGATTTCACCAACTGGACAAACTTCGTGGCATACTGATATTTCTTCCAGTATTTTTCTGCAGTAAATGCAAGTAAGTTTAATGCAATGCTTTTCAAATGAATAGAGACAGCTGAGGGAAACGGTGATAACTATGAATATTATAAACACATGACCCTTTCAAAAGAATTATCATCACTTTACTGAAGTCTTGTATGGTGCTGTACCTGGTAAGTCCTCATAGCTGCAGATGAGAATGTCTTCAGGTGGTGAGGGTGGGTGGTCTAACACAGGGAAGCCTTTCCCTTCATTGGGCTGGTACACTGTAACCTAAAAACCGTTGACAAAAAAAAAAAAAGAGCATGTGAATTAGAGATTCACAAATATTAATAATTTTCTCCACTAATGACAAATAATCAATATAACACTATAAATGTCTTTACGGGCACTTTTGATCAATTTAATGCATCTTTGCTGAATAAAAGTAGGAATTTCATTAAAACAAATCTCACTGACCCTAAAAATTTGAACAGTATTATGTATTCCATTAATTACATTACATGAATTAGTGAGTTTTTAGTCCCTCACCATGGATCCATCACAGGATATCCTAAGTACTTCTTTGACTCTCTCCTGAGCTCCTTGTCCCTTCAGCAGCTCCATACACACCTCTCCAGAATCCAGGATACTGACCTAGAGAGGAAATACACATCTTGTTACATAATGATCTAAATCAGCAATTCTAGCTAATAACTTACAGGTTCTCCCTAGTGCTCTAAACTCAAAGTGAAATGGGCTTATGGTTTCACAAGGCAATATAATAATAAGTGGTTATAAGACATTAATGGCTTCACTCACCACAGCGTTTTTGGTCTTTTGTCTAATAGGCTTGAGTCTGACAGCACAGAGTGGTGGGAAGCTCTTCTTAGGGAACACTTTCTCCTTCTTCTCTGTGTTTGCTTTGCCTTTGGAGAGGGGTGGACCCAGAAACTGTGCGTCCGAGTAGCCCTGAGATTCTGACACGTGTCCTGATCCAAACACATCTTCCCTGCAGGGCCCCTGATTGTTGTGAGGAAAAAGGTTCGGTTGCTGCTGAGAGTGAAGGCCGTTGGGTTTGTCACTGCAGGAGGTTTGTGTCCCGACTGGCCCTCGTCCAGAGTGGAAACTGCCACTGCTGCTGTGACTGCTCAGGTCCGCCGGCCTCTTAAACGGTCCTAGAAGTAAAAATGTTTTAAGGTTGAGAAAACTCGATATCTCAAAGTCCTAAGGCTTTTAAAAAAAAGTCATACTAAATATTTCCAATGGTCTGAAATAAAATAATTTTGTTTTTTTTAATCATTTATTTTAA